CGATTGAAAAGGAAAACGGAAGAAAAACAGTCAAGAACACCAAGATTCCAAAGAACTCAACGTATACGACGAACGGCTACTCCAAATTCCAATCGGAAACCGGCGCTGGAAACTAGACACGACGAGCTACACAGCGGTGTGTAGAAAGTCCGCTAACTCCCAACGGTTCGATGGGAAAACAGCCCGCAAATTCGACGATCGGAACTGAAACAGAAACGACCCGTTGACCAAGAACACAAAGAATCCGCTGAACGGATACTCCAAAATCGGATCGGAAAAAGGTTCTGGAAACTAGACAGATAGAGCTTTCTAACCGTATATAGATCAATTTCTGGGTCGTTATAGAACGATGGTAAATCAGCCCATAAGTTCGATAATCGAAACTGGAAACAGAAACTCCAGTCTCAGAAAACAGAACCGACACACTGATTTTAAAAGAACACAGAGAACGGATCATACCTCGGAATCAAGATCAGAAACCTGATCTGAAAACTAGACAGAGATAGCTTTCCAACCGTATATAGATCGTCCTCTGATTCCCAACGGTTCGACGGAAAACCTTTTTCGAATTGGACTGATCGGAACAGAAAACCTGAAATTTTCACTCCGATCAGCTCCGAACTTGGCAGCCGGTCGTCTCTTCCAAAACCGACGGTACACACCCTCAAACTCTCAAGAACACTCCTTTTCAATCACAATTATCTCAATTCTCTCAATCCCTTAGAGAATTCTCAAAGTTCTGATCAAGAACTGATTTCATTGACTTCACAAGCCTTTTATAGGCAAAATCTTTGGTTTAACCAAACCGAACTGCAATTAATTGATTCCCAAACCGAACCGTCGGTTAGAACATTGAGCGACACACATCCACTGTGTCCCGTTATACACGACCAAAATACACAAAAATTGGTCCGCGATCGTTACAAACACACTCTTTCTAATATCAAAAGTATCAACTCATTGATACCCTCTCTCCAAAAATATCCACTATCTCTTCTCTTTATTCAAATTTTATTAATTTTATATTTCAATACACCCCATTATTTCAACCAAAAACATTCTTTTTCTTTTTTTTATTCAAATTTTAATAATTTTATATTTAATGATACTCACGTTGTATCACCAATAATGATGCCCCTAGGAGCAAAGGATTTGTGTCATGAGGAACGTGTGAGTAGCTGACACGTGGATAAAACAGTTAGAAGTTGAGTTTGTCATTGTCATGAGGAAATTTCTCCAACTCTTTCTGCTTTTTATTTTATTTATTTGTGAACTATGTTTTCTCATTTACCAACAATATTTGCATTTATTAGTTTAGTAGTATTATACAAAAGTTCCGAGATAAAACGGCAGGTATGGCACACTTTATATTGTTGAATCGTAAAAATCATTTAATGTAGATGTTTATATTGGTAGGACACTTTTTTCCTTAGGGATTCATGTGCTAATTGTTTAAATCTGAATTAAGAGTCCAAATTCTTTAAAAAAAAAAAAAAATTAACATGTAGCTTAATGATTGGTGGTGTTAATGATGTCATTATGTTATCATTTGGATTCAATCCTAACAAATTTTAATTGGATCTTTTTAACACGTGTCAAAATCTAATCGATTAGCTGATATATGTCACAATCAGATTAATTATCACTTTTGACGCATCAAACTT